AAACAGAAGCAGCATCTTTGACTCTTCCGTCTCCAATACCTCTTTTTACTCCCTCCCACCACTAGCAAACACCATCCAAATAATCATCACATCCAATACTGCTGACATCTCTTTGGAATCTGCTGTATTTCCATTTCTGCATCAATCCTAGCAAAAACTAGTAACATCTTTCATCTACACTATCTCTATAGTATCCTATTTCCCTGCTTCTAGTTATAATTTCATCCAATCTACAGATCACAATGTAGTATGAGAAATCTTTGGAAAATGAAATGAAAGAGGAGAGAGTGTATGCACACAAGCACACAAGAGAGTAAAATGAAAACCTCAATGTGCCATTCTTCTACTTAAAACTTTACAGGTAGGGACCATTTCTCACTAAGCAAATCAAGACAGGACAAACTTGGACAAGAGGATCTATGAATTATAATATTTATTCTTTGCATGTTGTCCTTTAGCACTTCTAAATAGAGATTTTCTCTCTATAGAAGCAAACATGGCCACCAGCATCTTGAACTCATATCCCAACAGCTCTCCCACAGAATAAAAGTTACCATTATCTCTAGTCAGAATTAACTCCCGAAGGTGGACTTATAGCACTGAGTCATGTGCTCATGACTGTGGCCAGGAGGAAAGAAATTATGATGACTCTACCTGGCTTATGTGAGTACCTACGAGGTTGGATAAGTGTACTCATGCTACTAGAAGGATAGAATAGCAATAATCTAGAAAGTTACAGTAGTCACATCAAACCTTTTTAGGCCTCTTATCTCTCAGGATCAAATATATTCTACTAAAACAGTTTTAAAAGTATTCCATGATCTGGTTCTGGTTTCTAGCTTCTTGTCTTCATATATTTCCATTACTTCACAATGTTAAGTGTCCTCCAGTTCACAGAACACAGATGTCTTCTGCTACTGGTCCTCCCACATGCTATTTCCTTTGTCTAAAATATTCTTCACTTTTTTCCTTTTTTAAATATCACTATCTCAATGGGGCTTCCTTTAAACCTAGAATTCCCATAATTATATTCAATATATCCAATATGATATTCTCTATTACTATATTCATTATTTATTCATTTTCTCAATCATCTAACCTTCCTACTAAATAGCAAATTCTATAATAAAATACTGGGGTTCAACACCCAGTTTAGCATGTTTAATGTCTTAAAGAAATATCTTAAAGAAATAAATAAATGTGCTTAAAGAATCATAGACAAAATTGAACTGAAGGAAAAAGAGAAAAACCAAAAGAACAGTAAATAATGATGTCTTCAATTTATTAAGTACTTTCTGTGAACTAGGCACTATGCAAGATGCTTAACATGTATTACCCCAACTCTCACATCAACCCTAGGAAACAGGCATTATTCTGATGTCTTTTTCCTACTAAAGACATTGAACCTCAGAGAAATTAATTGCCTTAAGCAACACACATCTATTTCCATATTCATGATAATGACAGCTTATTGATATACAAATATTTACTGAACAGAGTGACTTTGAAACTAGAAAAATATAAGTATGAATATGGACTCCTTCACCTTCTGACTGGTACTTTCAGCAAACTATGAGAGCTTCCAAATCATGTTTCTCACAAATGTAAAAAGGTGGTTAAATGCTGTCCTTAATACCAGATGTGGTACATAAAATGCCTGTTACGAAATACTGCTTAAATGTTAGTTCCTTCCTAGTACTTATACTGTGCAGCAGAATATAAAACAGAAATTACACCATTTAGAACCTCAAAGATCTTACTATCCGGTTGATGAGATTATTTTATTAAATATTCTTGAAATTAAATAGAATCTGATGTGAAACAGTAAACATGTACAACACCCAGCAGTACAGATTATAAAGTCAAAAAAAGAAAATGATCCACAATGAGTGTGTGAATTAGAAAAAGCTTTCATGAAGGAAGAGAAATGTGTGGAGACTCTTAAAGTATAAGTAAGGGCTGAGAAGGTAGCTCAGCAAGAGGATGTGTGCTTAGTATGTGCAAGGCCCCTGGGTTCAATGCCCAACACTGCAAACAACCACCATCACAAAGTTAAAGGGATATGTAAGATGTACAACAGTAGACAGAAAGGTGTTTTCCCCTCTTCCTCCTCACAGGGGAAGAAGCCTATATTAATGAAATCAAGGAACTGCTCTTCAATTAATGAAGGCAGATTTTAAAACAAACAAACAACAACAACAACAACAAAAAAAAACCTAGGCATGGTGGCACAAGTTTTAATCCCAGCTGCTCAGGAGGGTGAGGTAGGAGGATGACAAATTTAGGGTCAGCCTAGACATCTTAGTAAGATCCTGCTTCAAAAATAAAAAATAAGATGTATCTCAGTGGTAGAGCACTCCTGGGTTCAATTCTCAACACTAGGGGGGAAGAAAAGAAGAGAGAGAGAGAAAGTGGATAAGGATTATGGAAAACTTTGATGGCAGAATTGTGGAGCTGAGATTCATAAAAGAAAGAAATATGAAGCCAATTAAGAATTTGGGGTCAGGGAAAGGACAGACTGAGGATTGATAATAAATCTTATATTTTTTTCCACAGAAATATCGTGGTTCACTTTTTTCCCTAAGAAGGAAGGTAGTACTTCTCCAAAATAATATTCAACATATTTTGCATTTAAAGAAAAGGAAACTAAAACCAAAAAAAAAAAAAAAAAAAATCCAACAGCTTTCTCACGCTACTTCATGCTGTCAGGTAACCATCTAGAGAGGAGAACCCAAGCCCTCTAAGTATGGCCCATATAAGTTTTGTATTACTAAACAATATCACATGTACATACTGGCCAAAATTGGCCAATCCTGGTTTATTTGTAATTCTTCATATTAACTGTTGTTTATAGACATACTAATTTACAACCTCTTTTAATAAACAAGTGCCAGTATAAACTTTACCCTATGCAAAAGGTCATAGCACCCTCAAGGAAACACAATGAATAACTTCATACAAAGATGCAAATTATAATTTCAGAATCCTGAGACAAAATTCTCATCCTTCCAATGTATCTTTAAAAATGCCCACTATAGGTATTTTTATATTCTTACCCTTTTACAGCTCATTACAAAGGAACTATCAATCAGTTCTATAGCATTCTTAAAACATTTTAAATGAGCCAATGTGGTTTCTTATTACACCCCAGTCTTCTCCCATTATACCCTTTATTTTAGGCTCTAAAACTTGGGCATTATTTTCTAACCATATGCTACATGTCATGCTGGGGATTATATAACTTTTGTTTTTATCAAAATGGTACCCTTTTGGTTTAAGCTACATCAGGCTTTTCTTAAATTTACAATTCTAAAAAAATTACTTATAAAACAGAAGCTAAACTAGTGGGCCTAATTAAATAGAAAAATACTTTAAAATGATTCTGCTTTCTAATGTTATTTTTGCCCCATCATATTTGATAGATTTATAATGAAAGTGAATTATTTCCTTCCATTATCAAGTGGGTAAGAAAAGTGAGAGTAAAGACACTTGTAGACTCAGAAATGCTGTGTATTCTCATAGCTACTGTCTAATTTCCAAAACATACAACAAACATGCTCATGAAATTTTAGATATTTTTTAAAAATCAGATCCTTTTAAATTCATAGGCTAGATCTTGAAAGTTTGGGGATAATAGATCTTTGGTCACCAGGGCACTTTTGTCCTTTTTAATTTTTATAAATCACTAAGCTTACTGAATGTAGTTAAAATTTGGCAGCAATATTACTGCTACCTTGAGTATTTGAAAGTTTTTCAGTAATGTGGTACCTAAGTCTAACAAAGTATAATCTCTCATGAAACTTCCATTATCACTTAAAAATAACAACAAAGGTGGCAAAAAGTGGAGATTCTTGGGATTTTGAGCCTCTAAAAGGCCACCAAATATTGGGGTGGAAATTTTGGTACAATTATTTTTCATGGATGTATCTGGACTACCATTTTTAGCTGTTTCCTCACGAATAAGAGTTTAATATTATGTAGGTTTAAACCATACAAAAGGAAAATTTTAATATGGGTGAGGGAAGGTACTGTGGATTAAACCCAGAGGTGCTTTATTACTTAGCTACATTCCTGGTCTAAGTGCCTTGCCTAGCATCTGGGTGGCCATTTTAAGGTTTTCCCGCCCTAGGGTTTTTCAGGGAAAGGCTCACTACTCCCTCAAACCAATCCAACCCTGCAGCGCCTGCATTCTTTCCCCAGCCAAGGGCATATCACCACTCCCGCCTACCAATCCCACCCTTAATCATCCACATCAGGACCCGCCCTATCCGGCTCTGCATTCCTGAGCCACCCCCATAAATCTCCAACCCCAAGCCCGCCTGGCCTCTCGCGGGCTATGGACTGATGCCCTTTGTCACCTCTGACAAACTCTCCAGTGTATCTCCGACTGGTCTCCGTCTTTCATTTCTCGCTGGCCCATCCGGGTTCCTCGCTTTCCTGTCTCCTAGCTCTTTTTAATTTTCAGACATGGTCCCTGCCTAGGACTTCTCTGAATTACTGAAGCTCGCCTTGAACTTGGGATCCTCCTGCCTCAGCCTCCTTAGTGGCTGGGATTGCAAGCGCGCACCACAGGGTCTGGACCCCTTTTTAATTTTTATGATGATTTAAACAACGGATTCCCCCATAAAGGTACCGTTAAGTTTCCCATGATTCTGTGAATTCCTGAGGCAGTGGGCTATGCGCATTCAGGTTAGCTGTGCTAGCCTTATTTACGGTCAGACACAGAATTAATACACGTTGGGGTCCAGGTTATCAAACACAACTAGTCTTTGGTCTATAACTATCTTTAAGCAAAAATCAATGAAATCTACCAGATTTTACTCCGCCCAAATCTCAGAAGTAGCATCTCCTTAAATAAAAAAATTTTAAAAAAATTAAAAAAACAAACAAACACTTTCCACAAGTGCCGGACTCTCCCCAACACTCAAGCACTAAGCTGGGGCAGTGCTGGGCGGCCTGCCAAGACCCAGGGGAATGAAGGTCGGGAAGTCGCTGCTCACCGCAGTGGATCCCTTCTTCACTGCTTCCTGGGCATATTCCACTTGGAAAAGGTGTCCGTCTGGGGAGAAGACGGTGATCGCCCGGTCATACCGAGACGCCATCACATTAAAAGTAAGATTCCCGCGGAGCCTAAGACGCTACCAGAGGTACACAAGGCTGGGAAGCGCTTGCACCACCACGTGCCGGCTCCCGGAAGTGCTCACGCACGCCCCGGGCCTCGAGCGGCCTCCCAGAAGTCTTTGTGCCCACGCCTTTGGCTCCCTCCCAGAAGTCCTCGCGCCCTACGGTCTAGGTGACCCCAGCCTCTTCCTTTCCCTTCTTGTCTCATAAATCTCCCAGATTGCCACCAGTGTAAACCTGGGCGTGGTGACTGCTCACTGATTTATAAAAATGATATGCAAGATTAAGGGCTTAAAGATAAGATCTTCAAAGGTCAGATATTTTTATGTGCACTTATTTACAGAAAGAATGAGACGTACAATTTCAGCCGCTTGCCTTTGGTTTTAAATTCTAAAGTCCCCTACCACCACCCCCTTTTTCTTTCTCTGGTTATCTTTGGTCACTTGAACCCAAGAAATGATAATTTTCAAAATAGTGTTTATTCTTTTGTTTTGTTTTGCCTTGTGAGCAAATAGATCCTGTGAGCAAATGGTCCATTAACTAGAGGAAATTGTCCATCAAACTAATACTAAAGACAGTAATTAAGAAAATACTCTTTTCATTGAAGAAAAATTTAAAAATCCAAAGATGTGACTTGAATGAGTTATGGAAGTTTAGCTATATCTGTATTATGTTGTAAAACATTACTACCTGTGAAACAACTCTGTCTTTATCAATAATATGAGAGTATTAAAAAATTCTTCAGCAATGTGGTCCAAAGGTCGAACATTAAATGTGCATTATAAAAATGACTCCAGGAGGTGCTAATGACTAAGTAAATTTGGCTATTATTACTTACCCTGTATTGTTTATTAGATGCTGTTTTACAATGGACAGGATCTTAAAGTTGGTGAAATCAACTTGGACTTAAGAAAAAGAGCTAGGCATGGTGGTGCATGTCTGTAATGCCAGCAACTTGGGAGGCTGAAGCAGGAGTATCTTAAGTTCAAGCCAGCCTCAGCAACTTAGCAAGATCCTGTCTCAAAAAGGGCTGGGGATGTGGCTGAGTGGTTAAGTACCCCTAGTTTCAATCCTGGTACTGAAAAGAAAAAAGAAAGAAAGAAAAATTATCCACAAAAGAGGAAACTCATTTTTCTTAATTCCAAAAAGCTAGAATTGAGTTGACTCTTGAGAGCAATTTGTATTCATTCCCCTTCTGGTCCCTTTTTTTCCATTGGAAAATAAGTTAATTCATTTTGGGGAATGGGCAGACATCCAATCTCAGAACTTCTGGAATTGCTTCTTGGTGCCAGCAGCCTTGATGACCTTGAGCACATTGCAGTGCACTATCTTGTTCAGGGGCCCGCACTTGACCAATGTGATAATATCACCAATCTGGACATACCTGAAGCAGGGGGATAGGTGCACAGACATGTTCTTGTGGTGCTTCTCCCAGTAATTGTACTTGCACATGTAATGGAAATAGTCCCAGAGGATAACAGTGGTGCCTGCATCTTCATCTTGGTGACCACACCCAGACAGAATCTGCCCTTGGATGAAAATGTTACCAGTAAAGGGACATTCTTATTAATGTAGGTGTCCTCAATGGCCTCCTTGGGTGTCCTGAAGTGCAGGCTAATATTATTGTGGTATTTAGTGGCTTCTCCTTGCCAGTTTTTCCCAGCAAGACCCTCTTCTTGTTTTGAAAGATGGTTAGCTGCTTTTTTTTTTTTTTTTTAAGAGAGAGAGAGAGAATTTTTAATATTTATTTTTTAGTTTTCGGCGGACACGACATCTTTGTTTGTATGTGGTGCTGAGGATCGAACCCGGGCCGCACGCATGCCAGGCGAGCGCGCTACCGCTTGAGCCACATCCCCAGCCCCGGTTAGCTGCTTTTGACAGGCACACTGAGTCTAAATGTCTGCCACCTTCTCGGCTACCTGAAAAAAGAACCCCTTTTCTTTAATGTGGGAAACTCTAGAAAAGTTTGGTTCTACTGAGAAAAACAAAAATTTCCAACAGAACAATTTATTTTGTGGTTACAAAACTGTTGTTTGCCAGAAGATGTTTTTTTGAGAAGTATTTCATTATTCTTGTTAAGTAACCCCCTTTTATGTTCTATATTGAAATAATAGAAAAAGAGTGGAGAGAAGTCTCCTCTACTCTTCACCTAGTTTGGTCCAATGGTAATACCTTACATACCTATAATACAATAAAATGACAAAGCTGTGAAACTGACATTGATAGAACCCATAGAGGCTTTTCAGATTTCAGCAATTTTACATGTACTCCTATGTGTGTTTCCGTGTAACTTATCGTGTGCTAAAACCACTACCACCATTAAGATATAGAACTATTTCAAATCACAAAGATCCCTATGCTGTCCACTTAGAAAACATATCTCTCTACCTCCACCATCCCTGACAACCACTAATCTGTTCTCCTTCTCTATAATTCTGTCATTTCAAAAAATGTATATAAATGGAATTCTACATTATGTAAAGGTTTGTGACTTTTTTTTTAATTGTGGACTCAGCCAGGTGCAATACCAAAAAAACAAAAACAACAAAAAAACTTATAGACTCACAGAAAGTTAAGGACATGTTACAGAGGGTCTTTGTACCATTCATTTAGTTCTCCCAGTTGATGACATCTTATATGCTTATGGTATAATATGAAAATGAGAAAACTGACATTTGAATAGAGGATTTTTATAACTTTGATTGAAAGGAATTTTATGAATATTATAATGTATTATAGTGTACATTTTAGAAATATTGACAAAGATTAATTCACACATTCAGGCTTCATATTGAGACTACAATTTAACAGTTTTGTGGTTTGGGGTAGTGTTTAAGTCAACTTGTTTATTACTGTGACCAAAAGACCTGACAAGAACAATTAGAGGAGGAAAAGTTTATTTGGGGGCTCAAAATTAATTTTATAGAAGTATAGTTCTATTCTTTAGGGCTTGAGGCAAGGCAAAACATCATGGTGGAGGAGTGTGGTGGAGGGAAACAGCTCAGGACATTGCACCATGAAGCAGAAAGAGAGAGAGACAGAGAGCTCCATTCTTTAGGGATAAAATATATACCCCAAAGACATGTTCCCAATGACCCACTTCTTCCAGCCACACCCTACTTGCCTACACGTACATTCTGGTTGATCCCTATCAGGTGATTAGTTTACTGGTTGGATTAAGGCTCTCATAACCTGGGCATTCCACCTTTAAATCTTCTTGCATTGTCTCACACATGAGCTTTTGGGGGACACCTGATATCTAACCATAACAGGTAGATAAAATTTATTTTACTTAAACTCAGTTTCCTTACCTGTAAAATGGGGATAGTATCTAGTTCACAAAGCTGTTGTGAAGAATAAATGAAATAATACATTAGTCCCCAGGTCTATTTGATACAGAGTAAATGCTTACAAAATGGTAGCTATTGTTGTTTATCATTGAGTTAACCAAGAAGTTGATTACTCTATAAAAGAGAAATTTGGAAGTGTAAAGCTATAGCATGAACCCATTTATACTTTTAAAGAATATATGTATACAAATATATGATCGTAAATATATGGGGAAAAGTGAAAGGACATACACCAAGCTGACAAAAGTGGTTTTCTTTGCAGGAGGACAGAGATTGGAAAGAGAATAGAAAGACGTGGTAAACAAAGAGAAGTCACCATTTTAAACTATTTATGTGTAACTATATTATGTTATTGTTTTTATAGATTTTTTTTTAGAGAGAAGAGATAGATAGAGAATTTTAATATTTTATTTTTTAGTTATTGGCGGACACAACATCTTTGTTTGTATGTGGTGCTGAGGATCGAACCCGGGCCACACGCATGCCAGGCGAGCGCGCTACCGCTTAAGCCACATCCCCAGCCCTTATGTTATTTTTTACAACAAGCATAGTTTAGACTAACAAAAACAATGGTCAGAAACAATTTAATGCCTAGAGATTTTTAACGATGGTAATCTTAATGATTTGAGCCAAATCTTCTATTGAGAACAACTAGAAATATGGGACAAAATATGTTTTAAAATCCATGTTGCAGGGTGCAGTGATACATGCCTGTAATCCCAGTGACTGGAGAGGCTGAGGCAGGAGGATCCCAAGTTCAAAGCCAGCCTTAGCAATTTAGTGAGCCCATGAGTAATTTAGCGAGACCCCATCTCAAAGCAAAAAGTAAAATTCGCTGGGGATGTGGCTCAGTGGTTAAGCACCTCTGAGTTCAATTCCTGGCACACACAAAAAACAAAATCTATATGCTATTCCTAAAGAGCTAACAAGGAATGAACATTTGTGGTGCTTATATTTAAAGGAGAAGGAAAACCCAGAGATATTTGCCTGTTCCTGATGCCTAGTTTAGAAGTTAAAGCAGATCTTTTTTAAAAAGTGTCCCTGGATTGAACCCAGGGGTGCTGAACCACATCCCCAGTGCTTTTTATTTTTTATTTTGAGACAGGATCTTGCTCAATTGCTGAGACTGACTTTGAACTCTTGCCTCAGCTTTCCAAGCTGTTGGGATTATAGGCTTGTTCCACTGCGCCAAGCTAAAGCAGATCTTTGATTAGACAAAAATTGGAGTTCAAAGCATGATGAGATGTTATGGAAAATATTTAAACTTTTTTGTTGGAACCCATTATTCCACAAGAGTGAAGTCAAAATAGACCTATTCTACATTCTGACATGGCTACCACATATACCTTGCTTGCTCATATACCTTGTTCTGCTTTTTCTGCAACCACGTTTGACAAACTTTGTATGATTGAGATTGAGAAATTGAGAAGTCAAAATTGAAGAACACAGAAACACAAAGTAATATCCTTCAAAATGCCGGGTTTCTGTTCTCGCGACTAAAAGGATCAGGGGTCACTCCAGTTAAACTGGGCTAATTGGGCTGCATGAAATAACCACACAAGAGACACAAATATCTTTTTCTTTGGGTTCCCTGTGACAGCTCCTCTGACCTTAAGGGTCCCGCAGAAAGA